GTATGTATGTATGTATGTATGTATGTATGTATGTATGTATGTATGTACGTACGTACGTACGTACTTCTTTCATAAAGCACTTGACAAGATAAAACAAAGTTAGTCTATCTATATTATCTTTTTTAATTTTATCTGGTATAAAATAATTAAATAAAGATGTATGCGTTTCCGGTATTAAATATTTGCTTCTACCAAAATTGGGAACCACTACTCAAAACACATTTTTGTAAAACTATGCTTTGTCTTTCAAAAATCAAACTTTATATGTTGAAGAGAAAATGTACCTATAATGGGTTTGAGAGCTTGTAAAGGGTGGTGCCAGCTTTTTTTTTTACAGTTAGAGAGAGGCAGGCGAGTTATTTTGTAAAACCTAATACTTATTAATTTGTGATTTAACTACAATGAACCCACGAAAGAGATTTTTTATCATTGTTGTTATATAGATCATTCCTGTGTGTTTATGCATTTATAGAGTGAGGGGCATGTCTACATAAATTCAGTGTCCTCGTCTTGGTCACATAATATTTCATGGAGCAAGATATTCACCTAAGTTGCTTTGCTGGTGGAGGTTTACTGCTGAAAAAATTGGGGCTAGGGGAGGGGTGTGTGTAAAAGAATCCTTTTTCAATTTTTCCTACTGCAGGGGCAGTTTTAAAAAAGTGAATTAAGTATTGAGAAATATTTATGACTGGTTAAGAAAAACTGTAAGCTTTCAGCAGTATTTCCACAGAGTTACCGCTATAAAAACAACAGAATGACAAAGAGGAAACCACAAAGCACAGTGAGACAAAAAACTTACCACTTACCATGGCATTCCAAAGCTATAAACTTTTGTATCACACAAAAAATAAAGAAATGAAGGTATTATTGTTTGTGCAAAGCTGCTTCTCTTCCTGCACCCATTTTGGGTTTAATGTGTTTTGTAATCTGTTCCAGCGCTGTCATATGACTGTTTTGCTTGTAACATGACCTGTTTGGACATTGCTCACATAGTTTGTCTAGTCTTGTTATTCAGCAGAGTGGATGTGGTATTCCCCAAGAACCTCACAAAAGACGCACGGGCTTAGCTGGCTCCTCTACCCGGCAAAACAATGCTGGCATGTAGCAGTCACACTGTTTAAATTATGTGGCCACATGATGTGCAGATGGATAAAATGAGGTGGGAGAGAAGAGAAGAGCAGGAAGATGACAGGGCAGAAGTTTAATCAAATCAATTCAGATTCTGACGGGAGTCAGAATCTTGCTTTTTATTGTCTTAAAAAAAAAAAAAAAAGAATTACATGGGTGCAAGCTACAGTTCTTTTCTCTTTAAACAACGTAGATGACAATTACAGGACTTTTCTGTATGGCTAGTTGGCCATTTCAGTCAGGAAATTAAGCCTCGAAGAAACATGGCCTTAAATCTTAGAGATAATATGTGTGGAACACTAAAGCTCCTCAGTAGCCCTGAAACCATGGTCACTTGCTTGTTATTGTTGTGGAAGTATTTTATGCACTGATAGAATTGCAGTAAAGACTGGCTGAATGGAAAAAAAATATCTGGGCTTTGTGCAGACGCTCAGCGATAATAAAGATTGTGTGGGAGAACAAAGGATACAGCCGCAGTCTGACCTGCAATGAGAATGTCAAATCATCCAGAAACGGACCTGGCAACATACCTACAACCACGATGGCCACCCACCCACACAGAGACAGATACACTTTCTGTTGTCTCCATTTTTCCTGTCTATAACGCTGAGACATACTGTAGCTCCACTCTATTTATCCCTTGTTTTTAAGTCCGTCTCTCACATCTATTCCAAGGTAATTTGGCTGCACATGGTTCCTCTGGATGAAGCACGGGTTTGTCCATGTGCCACAGCTTTTGAAAGCTCAGCAAACAATGACAAAGACAAATAGCAGATTAATGTTTGTGTATGCTAACAATGTCACCGTTAAACTAACCATCGTCCTTTAATGTAATGAGACAGTGGAGAGATGGATTAACAAGCGATGATGAGACAAAAAACTCAGACATAGACAGGATGAGGGAAAGTGATAGTGAAGGAGGATCAATTAAAGTCGTATTTTTGGGATACTAAGAGAAGCAAGAACAGTAAGGGATACATCTTCCATGACATCAGCATATGGACACACATCAGTTGAGCCTGTGCATAAATCAATCAAAGCCACAGAGTTGTTTCCCACTGCCTAAAGAATTAGTATTTGATTACAGCATCCCATGATCTCTTACTGTATCTCATGAATCCTCCACTGTAAGAAGTAGTGAACTCTATATAAAGCTGTCATACCTTTCATTGTAAATCACAAAAAGAAGCTCATGGTAAGACTTGACTGGCAAAAGAAAAAATGACCGCTGCCCACTGAAAATGATTCATTTTCAAATACCGGATATTTCTGGAAAAGGTTTGTAAAATGGAATGGACCGCTGCTTTAGCATAGTCTTTTTCACACTGCCCCATCTTTTTGAGTAAACCTGTATTAGTATTTGCAGCCACAGGGCTTTTTAAAAACAGAAAGGCTCTAAATTGCATTCAGATCGTTTGTGAGTGAAATATACATATAGTTACAACAAGTTGCAACACAATTTTCTGTCTTACAATAATCTTTGGTCCTAATGGCCTTTCTGGGAAAATCAATACAGTTTGATTGGCTGCAGAATGTTGGCAAAATGGTGATAGGAATCAAAACAAGACGTTTCCAAGCAGTGAAACTTTGTTTTAAGACTAGATATAAAGTGAAAAGAGGGCTCTGGCATGAGTTTAGTTTCTTTTGACATAAAAGACTTAATGTGGGCAATTTCAATTTCCTCTTTTTTCCAGTTTCATTGTAAAGGCTTTTAACAGCAAGACAAAATACCACACAACAAGCTGTAACCGTTTAACCATCGATAAATCAAGGTTTTCTTTTAATCAAATATTGCAAAGCAATTTACTGACATTTATTCAATTCCTTCTTATTTTATTCTGCTGGAAAAGACTAGATTTTCCTTTTATGTCCAAAAATATATATTTAGATAATCAAACTGATCGACCCTGAGAATGACAGTTTTGTTGTCCACTTCAGGTGACGGTTGACCTGTCTCTGTCACCAGACAACAGTCACCAGCTGTTTTTAGGTTTTTGGCTCAAGATGGATAAATCCGAGTAGGTGCTTCTGGAACACCAACAAAGAAAGAAACAAAACAACATAAAAAAAAATGAAATGAGGTTGAAACAGAAATTCAGACTGACAGAACTATGCAGCGGATGGAAAAGGAATTCCAGGAAAACTGTCTTGTCTGACTGACTAGGTGCTCAGAGATAGTGCCTTACTCGGACTGGAGCAATTAGATGATACTGAGAAGAAAGAAGATCCAGGGAAAGTGGGAGTGAGAGGGATTCAAGATCTATCAAGGAAGTCTGAGAGCAACGGCATGAGGATCGTAAAAACAGGAAGGAGCGTGAGCCCAATGAGCCCCAGCAGAGGGACTGGACCTATCCCAGCAGCCACAAGGCAGAGGCAGGGTACACACCACAAGTCCATTACAAGGCCAAGACAGTTACAAACAACCAAGCATGCACACGCTCATTCCTACCGTCGAATAACCCACCCACAGTATTGGATTTTTGGAAGCAGGACTACCTGGAGAGAACCCACACCATACATGCATTCTCATCATGGAAAGGCCCCAGCTGGGGGTGCAGGCAGCTTGCTGAGAGGTGACAGTGCTTACCACCGCAACACAGCAAAGCCACGTCAAAAACATCAAATGCACAATAAAAATGATTTAGAATTAATAACATCATTATTGACTTGGGATTTTTTAGATATTCCATGATCTCATTTGCTTTAATATATTTAGAATCCAGATTAATTTCAGATACCAATCGAGATCTGAACTATTTGTTAGAACAAAAAGCTGGAGGGAGTTTAAGCAGGAGTTATTGCATCAAAATTTTTCTTGTTTGTTTAAACTATCCTATCAACAACAGCAAATGCA